GTGTGACAGATCTTCTGATTATTCAAAAAACCTTAGAAATCCCACTCTTCATATACAATATCCAGATTTTTATGTGAAATCTCCTGAACTGTAAATGTTGGCAACCAGTTATTTTATTTGCAACAGCTTATTATTACGAGGCAGGACACGTGCATTGTATAAAAATAGAAAATGTAGGCCAAGAACAAGAAAACATACTCTCCCACTCAGAGATCACCACTGTTAACACCTTAATGCATATCCTTTCAGTTCTTTTTTTTCCATACATATATAGACGCTTTGGAAACGAAACACGAGTCCCCTGTACTGGTTTCATAACTGGCATTTTGTTAATGATTTTGACCTTTCCATCTCAGTAAATTTTCACCTCATCTAATTCCCTGTCCATATAAAAAATTTTCCAGTTGACTCCAAATATCTTTTTTTCCTTTTTAAGTTTTTATTTGTTTATTTGACAGAGAGAACACAAGCAGGGGGAGCAGAAGGCAGAGGAAGAGGGAGAAGCAGACTCCCCACTGAGCAGGGAGCCTGATGCGGGACTCGATCCCAGGACCCTGGGATCATGACCTGAGCCGAAGGCAGACGCTTAACCGACTGAGCCACCCAGGCGCCCCTCCAAATATCTATTATAGCAATTTGCTTAAACCAATAGGGAATCCAGGACCACACATTGTATCGTTATTAGACAGCTTAAGTCTCTCTAATCTAGCAGTTTTGAATTTTTTAAGATCATACTGACTTGGAAACAAACTGAGGATTGCTGGGTGGGTGGGTGGGGGTATGGGGTAACTGGGTGATGGGCATTAAGGAGGGCACTTGATGTGATGAGCACTGGGTGTTATATGCAACTGATGAATTACTGAACTCTACCCCTGAAACTAATAGTGTACTATATGTTGCCTAATTGAATTTAAGTTAAAAAAAAAAAAAGAAAAGAAAAAAAATCATACTGATTTGCTGAAGAGTTAGCCAGGTATCCTGCAGAATGCCTCCCTTCCTAAGTTTGTCTAGTTGCTTCCTTTTAGCGTCCTTTACTTTCTCTGTTCCGGGCATGGCGTGTAAACTGTAAGCTCTATCCAACACCCCCGGGGGGGGGGGGGGGGGGGGAGCTAGACTATGCACTAGGCTGGGTTCTGTGTTTGCCTCACACCAGAACTGGTCCACTGGTTGGTGACACCAAGACCCATTCCAGGAAATGGGTGATGCCAAGACCATGCGCTGAGAGGCTACTTGACAATGTCCAGTTGTCCACCAACTGTTTCACTTATCGTTTTAACTCCAGTGAATAATCTTTGCCAGGATCAATCAGGTATTCAAGTTCACAAAATACTGTTCTTCCAATTCTGTCATTCTTTCTACATTTGTTAGCTGGCCTTTCCCCCCTCCTCAATGAGGGTTCAAATTAATATTATGAAAAATAACTCCCCGTGGGCCAAAGAATACATTTGGGGGCAGGATTTGTCTATGGGCCGCCACCTTCTGATCCACAGTGTAAGTCCAACAAAGTCTCCCCCCTGTCATCTGTCCCCTGCAGCATTAGGTCTTTTGTTTGACACTCAATTACTTTGCACTTGGTGACATGTTGCTTGTAATCTTCTCAGACATTTGATGTGTGTATTTGTCTCCCTGGCTAGACGGTGACCTCCTCAAGGGCAGGGACTCTCCTGCAGCATCTTTCCTTTGCTTCTCCTAACGTGCTTTTATCGTCTCCTGGATTCCCTGGCTTTCCCACTAAAACTTTCCCTAGTTATTTATCATAATGAAGGGCTGATCTAATTTACAGTTTACTTGTGCTGTGGGAGTCCCTGTGATGAGGATGAGGGCTGGAGTGGGAGGGAAGAGGGGAAAGAAGCTCTTTATTAGTCTTCAAAAGCGGGAAAGTCATTTTCCAGCTGCATGACCTTGGGTAAGTGCCCTTATCACTGTTTCTGTTTCTTCATTTGGTAAGACGAGGTCACTGGGTTCTCTCTAAAGTCACACTCCGCTCGGCTCTAAGCATACGAGTTACCTGCACCTTTTGGATGTTCCTCCTAAGCTGTGTCTCCCTGCTTGGATAGCTCCCTGGCTCCCTTCACATGGGGCAGTGCTGTCCTTTCCAAGCCAGGTGGACAGAATCTGCCTTGGACGACTCTCCAAACACCAGTTAGACTGCTCTAATCCATCCGTCCCAGTGACAGTTTGCTCTTGTTTCCAAGGTCAAACCCCAGTCCTTCACAACCAGGGCCAAGTGTGGATATCCCGAGGGCTCTACACCAGTAATTGGCATGGCGGAGACCATCTTAGGTCTTCCTTGGCTGTGAGGGAGAAGAGGACGGAGGTTGTCCTTGCTGTGGAGCCCTCTCACATTAGGGCTCTGAATGACCCCAGGCCCACTCTGGGGTCTGGATCCTTCTAAACAACAAAATGCTTTTGCTCACTGGTTTTTCCAATCCTTTTGTCTCAGTTCTATCAGTCTCCTTTCTCTCTTGTTTTCCCTTCTTTATAGGTACAATCTCAAGGACCTCCTCCAGCTGGCTTTACGTGCCTGAAGATAGCTTTCTCTACTTTCTTGGCTGAGGACAGTCTCCAGCCTGATTACAAATGGAATCTTACCATCTCCCTGGCCTAGAGAGTTCCAGGTGGTGAAGGGGGAAACGAATCTCTAAGGAGTGAGGCAGAGAGAGAACCACCACCAGCCTTATTCTTCACAAACCACATTCAGGCCTGTGGTGAATGGGGCTGACCAGAGCAAACGGCCAAAGTTGGCCCCTGTACTGTGACTCTCATCTAGAGACACAAAACGGATCTGTAATTCTTCCATTTCCCCCTTTCCCCATCTCAGGCCTAGTGGCTGCTGATGAAAATCAGGTGGTTAGTTGGCCAAACAAGGTCTACTTATTGCTGTATCCTTTGCAGCGCCCCAGGAATCTATCAGCTGTAGATATGAAACAGAACGACTAAGGATGAGCAGTCTCCCAGCGAACAGGAAGAAGGCAAACTCTTGCAATGCAGGGCACACTTGGGAGCCCACCAGTGATGATGTGGGGTGGCAGGGGCTGCTCTTCTGCCACAGCCTGCCTTCCCTGGGCCTGTCCTCATCAGATGTTAGCACTTGTTTTTCCTCGGGAAGGAGGGAGAGAGTAGCCCCAGTGTCAAGAAGTCTTGGGAAGCCCCAGGGCTGGCACAGATGAGCACAGACCCAGAAAGGAATCAGCCAGTCAGCAACAGATGGGAGGCTGAAATCAGAGTGAGAAACAAAGGGTCAGAGCGGACACGACCCCCAAGAGTCAAAGAAAGGATGGATGTAAAGTTATACGTGCTTGCCTGGATTTCCCCAGCCTGCAGCGGCCTGGTGAGAAAACTGCCCAGTCAGAGTCTTTGTATTCACTTATTTAATAATAATAATTCAGAAGAAGCAATCCCAGCTGTAGACCAAGTTATCTAGTTTCAGAACATTTATCACTCCAAAAAGTGCATCCCCTCCGGCAGTCAGTGGTATGAATGTGAGCTCTTCCTCTCAAGCATACCCTCACGCACAGGCCTCTTCTCTGCAACCCCAGCTTGGCTGACACGGCCACCTTAGAATAACCCCTAAATGTGGAATTTCTGTTCTCAGGAGTCACCATTTCCAGTATGAAACTCTTAGTGACAAGGAATGAAGACTAAGGATCAAAGATTATCAGATTAATTTGCCTAAAACCAACTCACCTAGAGACAATTAGTCTCAAATATTTATCAAATCTGCAGCATTTCAAAAGGATTTAGCAGAGTCACCCTTTCACTTTTTATTGCTCTTGTCTATGTAACCTTTAATTGTTAGCCAACTGAATATGCCACATGCTTGTTCATTTGTTTAGAATATATTGGCATTTTTAACAGCAGGAATGTAGAAGTTAGGCCAAAGCGTCAAAATCATATGAGCTCCATTATGTTTTCCAAGGCATCTAATTTGTAAAGGGATATTAGATTAAGAAACACAAAAAATGATACACAAAATGTCTGTACCAATTAATTATATTTATTGCTAGGAACTTTAAACTTTTTCGAAAAATGTTGGAAAAGTAGATAACATAGGGAAAGATGTCCGTAAAAGTAGGAAACAATCTCATTTACAAAGTGCTGCAAATTTGATAAATTTATGTTGACAATAACTCAGAAGTACTGTTGGATGAATAGATTTAAATCCTTAAAACACCCAAAACATAATAGAACACCTAAGTGAACACCTAAACGGTTCCCCAGATGGAAATGAGCTTTTGGCAAACTGGTCATTAAGTGACGTAAACTTTGGCAGCTCTCTCTGCCCGTGGGTCCTGTCCCCGTGCTTTCAATAAAACCATCCTTTCTGCACTGAAAAAAATACAAAAAACAAAAAAACCCACCAAAAAACCCAGTGAAGTAAAGTTAAGTGTATAAGTGTTCCATGAATTTAAAATTGGCTTTAAAGGGACCAATTTTAGCCAAACGGACTAGAGCCAGGTCAAAGCGTGTCGCCCCTCTGGCTCCCCAGAACCTCGGTGCTTGGGAGTTGCAGTGGCTAGAAGCCTGGATCCCTCTGCAGGGTGGCAGGTCTGGAGTGGTGGGCTCCTGTGAGAGGACGGGGATGACAGTGTCCTGAGAAGAAGGGAGTGAGAGAGCGAGTGTGTATCTGTGAGTGTGCCTCTGTGTGTATATAGTTGGCTGGAGGGCTCCGTGCACCTGCACCTGGGTGCGTGGCCTAGCTTGAGGCCTCCTGCATGGCTCGCCTGGCACCTCCACCCCCAAAGACCCACTCGTTACGTCCCCGAGCTGAGGAGAAGAGGAACCCAGGACAGGCACCCACCCGGCCTTCCCAGGCCCACGTGAGTCCCTGAGAGACATGCAACACAGGCAGCAGGTCCACCCGAGCTGCCCCCGCTTCCCAGCACAGGGGTGAGCGGCTCTCCTGGCCCTTAGAGAGAAGGTGACCAAGAAACAACTCATGAATAAGGTCCAGTTTCCACCTCTTCATCCAGATACAGAGATAAGATACTTGGTAAGAACCTGCTGACTCTGTATCTGACCCACATGAGGGGTGCAAAAGAGTGAGGAGTGTTCATAATGTCCTCTCTTCCTATAATCCAAAGCCGGAACATTGCTTGACTTATGCATAAACGGATACTGGAGATACAGACTAGAACCAGACCTTTAGAAAGTCCTGGAACCTGCCTGTGCATACCCGAGTATATGCTACAGCACAGGTTGTGCACATGGGAAGAAAGCCAGTCACCCCACCATGGCAATCGGAAGGGTCCTTCTCCACAGTCCATTTGGAATGTCGTATCTTTGGGTCTCTGGCCCATGGGGCCCTCCCCAGAGGACTCTTCTGCCTGACCTGGGAGTGCGTTCCTGGCCTCGGCTGGCCTCAGAGGGGCCCTCTGGCCAGAGGAGTTTGTCAGGGGTGGCGAAGGCAGCAGCGGTGACCGCAGTTCAGATATAGTTGGCAGGGGGCTGTCGGGCACTGAGCCGCTGCATGTGACAGCCGTGGCAGAGCAAGTGCCCATCCAGAGGGAAGCAGCAGCAGCCTTCCTCGTCACTCAGCTGCATCCGGCAGTCCTAGGGAAGAAGGACACCTAGTTCACCTCAGCCCGGACACCTCGGACATGTTGGGAGTCTGCCCTGCTCCACACCAGCCTCCTAAGGACTGGAAGAAAGGGGGGGTTGGTTTGGAAGCAATGGACTCCCAGAGGAGAAGCCCGAGAAAATACCTCAGCGGGACAGCAGGTGTCGCTGCTACAGCAGAAATAATGAGCCGGCCTCCCATCTGCAGGGGTTACCAGGAGTCCCCAGTTTAGTCTTGCCTCCAGGGAAGCCAGATGCAGAAAGCACTAAACCCTCAGGACCAGAGAGCCTGGTTGGAGGACGGGAGGACGGGAGAGATACTGGGGACGGGTCGGAGCACCTTCCTGGTTTCCATGCCTCAGACCTCTCCTACAGACTCGGGCAGTCCAGGGACATGCCTCTTCCCCCAGCCCCGTTCCCCTGCTCCAGATGCTCCTCCAGGAGCCCTGGCTCCTAGCACTCACCTCACAGTGGTAGCACTCAAAGTGATAATCTCGGTCCATGGATATCACCCTCACAATGTCCTCACAGCCCTGAAATGATGCAGACCCCCATGGGATGAGCGTAGCATGACAACCCCGATTCTGCCCTCCCCGCTACGGGACCCCTTCCACCCCAATGCGAAGATCATACGGAGGGCCTCCAGAGAGAGCTCTCTGCAATCATCTGTAGCCTTGAGATGGCCTTTGCAAATCCTCCTAGAGCTTTCCCCTCCCCTTCCTTGGTGCTGCCTCCAGGAGGGCATGTCCTCTCACAGTTTTCCCTCTGTCCAGCAGCTCTGGCCTTCCCTGCCTCTCCGAGCTGTGCGGAGGCAAAGGGGCAGGCAGCTTAAGTCAAGTAAGCTAGGCTGGGGACGAGGAGATCCAGTAGGGTCTGGCTCCTCACTGGCTTTTGGATTCTCTCTCTGGGCAAACTTGTAGCACACACAGCATAAATCATTGCCGACATCTTCCTTCCAGCCCTGAGGATTCTTCCCACCTTTTTCTAGCCCCTACATCTGGGATCTGGTGACCCTGACCTCAAAGAAAGGAAGTCTCCTCCTCTGGACTGGGAGAGACGGGATGAAGCCTGGGCCCAGTGAGGCTGTCAGACATGTCCAGGCCCGGATGTTAGGGTCAGGGTGGTGACCCTGAGAGCAGAGTCACACGGGAATCTTCAGAGTACATTCCTCAGCACCACTGCCTCCCGCGGGAAGCCGGGCCGTATGTCCCCATCCCCTTCCCAGGGGCAGCGGCACTGGCTGCCCTGCAGGAGAACCCAGACATACTGACCTCTGAGGGGAGGATGGGCTGGCCACAGGCCGCACACTTAGGAGCATAATTTCTGAAAAAGAGAGGGCAGAGAGAGAGAAATTGAGGTTGGGGAACCCCCGAGGCCAGTTCCACACCATACCCCACGGGGGTAACTCACTTGTGGTAGTCAGTGACACAGTACACCTGGTTGGAGAAGTCCACTGTGAAGGGGATGCCATCTAGACACTTGTTGCAAACGATGCATCGGAAGCAGCCTGGGTGATAGGACTTCCCCATGGCCTGCAGGATCTGGCTCACGGGGTGGTAGGAGAATCAATCAGTCTCCCTCTAGTCTCGGTTCTCCAGCTACCCATGGTGCTCCCTGCTGCCCCCCAACCTCATCCAACTCCCTGCCCTCCTCCCAGAACAATGCTATGTAATCTGAGGGGCCTAGGCCTCTTAAAACAGAGGCAGGGGGGCGCCTGGGTGGCTCAGTCGTTAAGTTCTGCCTTCGGCTCAGGTCATGATCCCAGGGTCCTGGGATCGAGCCCCACATCGGGCTCCCTGCTCGGCGGGGAGCCTGCTTCTCCCTCTCCCACTCCCCCTGCTTGTGTTCCCTCTCTCGCTGTGTCTCTCTCTGTCAAATAAATAAATAAAATCTTAAAAACAAAAACAAAAACAAACAAACAAAAAAAAACCAGGCAGAAACCTTGAAAACCGTCTTAGAGAGCATCCAGGCCAGTGGTTCTCACCCTGGGCTGTATATTAGGATCGCCGGGGGAGCTTGTAAAACCCATCAATGCCTGGGCCTCACCCCAGAAGTTTTCATCACAGTCTCTGATGATGACCCAGGCACTGGTCATATTCTTTACTTCTTGCCAGGTGATCTGCTAGGGTTGAGGACCACTGACCTAATCCTATTCCTCCTTCATATGGAAAAAAAAAAAACCAACAACAACCCTGAGTTCTAACTGAGCCCATCCAGTAGCAGGAAGGGGATTAAGACCCAGGACCCTGCACTCCTAGCTTGGCTGTGCGTGCAGAATGAGGCAGGGACCAGATCACAGAGGCCTGGGGATGGCAGGATTAGGGGTGCAGACTTGACCCCCCCAGCAGAAGGAAGCCACTGTAAACAGCTGCTCTGGGGAAGACTGAGACAAAAGCGGCTCATGCAGTGATAGGGTTCCTCCCTCCACCTTTTCTTAGTACCCACTTAGCCCCGGTTCTACCCGTCAGCCCCACAGCCTCAGTGGGTCTCAGCTGACGACACTTTGCTTACCTTCTCCAAAATCAAGTGACCACAGACACAGCATTTCTCAGCTGCCTCCTGAAACCCTGAAAACTAGGGAGAAAGAAAAGACCAAGGGAGGGTATTACAAGTAGAGAACGACCTGATGGGTGGAACCCCAGTGAGCCGCCAAGAAGGGGGGTCCCAGCGTGGGAGCCCTTCCAGGCCCGGGGGACCCCTCACTCACCAGATAATCTTCCTCACAGTACACGGAGCCATTGACGCTGTAGAAAGCCTTGCAGCGCAAAGTTCGCCCTAGAAGCAGCAGACAAGGGACTGGAGCCATCCCAGGGTCCGCATCCAGGGCGTCCCCGCCCCAGGGTCACTGCTCTCCAATGTCGCATGACGTATTTAAACCTGGACTTTACTGCCCGTGCTCCTCACTGCTGTGTGTCCTCCCTCTCTACACAAAAACCCCATCTGGCGCAATTCCAATTTACTTTGGTCTCATTCCTGCTAACTTCCCCTCTCCTCTGCTCGCTGCTCCTCCAGTTCCTGCCTCAACAGTTTTCTAGGATCCTGCCCTCCCTGGATGAGTGCCTTCCTACCCAGTGTGCATGCGGAGCCACCAGGGAGAGCAAAGCCAACCCCAGGCTGGGGGGCAAGGTGAAGGAGCTCTGAACAAAGTGCCGTCCAATGCCCAGGGAGGGGGTCGCACTGTTGCAGGCCTTGCCCTCTGGGACCTTCCAACCCAAGGGCCTCTACCCATGCACAGCCATCCTGCTCTCCTAGCCCTGTCTGTCTTCTTCCAGGGACAGGCTCAGTAGAGGTCAGGAAATACTGGCATTACTGTTGGGGACAAAGTGCTTTGCTTGGGAGCAAAGTCATTTCCCTTTCCCCCTGCACTAGACTGCTCCCCCAAGCTTAGAGGAACCCAGAGAATCCAGGATCTTCTGTGAGCAGACAAGGCATGTGACCAACACTTAGGAACTGCTCTAGGGTGTCTAAATTGTCAGGGAGAGGGGAGGAGTGAGACCCAGGGTGGAGAATGGGCAAGTGTGCCACCTCCTCTGCCCTCTTCTGATCAAAATCTCTTCTACCTCTGCCCAATGGTTTGGAAAAGCTGACTTAGAAACTCGTGAGACACAGCGCGAGTACAGAGAGGGAAAGAGGCACACCCAGAAGAGGCCCTATACACAGGAGAGACAGATGGAGGAACCTAAGAGAACCAGGCAGAGGTGGGGGGCGACAGGGGGCGGGGGTGGTGGTGGTGGGAGAGAAAAGCTGAGTGCTGGAGTCAGACAGGCAGAGATAGGAGATTAAAGGTTTAGCAAAGGAATCAAGAGTGGGCAAGCAGTGGGGAGGGGTAATGAGGGAGGTGAGGGAAGGGCTGGGGAGTTGAGGCCGCTGGGAGCACGCCCCCCCCCAGGCGGGCCTCCTGAGCTAACAGTGGCAGGCATTCCTGGAGTGTGATGTCATCAGCTTGGCATGGCCCTGTGGCCTGCACTCCAGCGAGGTGGCTGAACTCTGACCAGCCAAGAGAAAACCCCCTCTCTCCGCCCCCCAGGGCTCCCCACTCCCCCAGCCCACCCCCACCCTTCCCACATTCCAGTCTTTCACTGTCGCCCCAGGCAACTCAGACTGCCCAGGACCAAACCCCACCAAGGAGAGGCCGAGGAGGCCGGGCTCGAGTCCAGGCTGGGCAAGCAAGGAGGCAGAAGAAAGAGGGAGGAACAGAGGGGAGGAAAAGAGGCTGAGTGGAGGAAGGGAGGGCTGACCCCAGAAAGCAGACCCAACATGGGGGCTGGAGAGCCAGGTACAGCAAAGAGGAGGGCAGGTGGGGCAGCAGTGGGCATCCAGACACATGGGGCAGGGGTGCACCGAAGAGGCACAAGCTCTGTTTTCCCCAGGCCCTTGAGAGTGTGTATGCATGTGGGGCGTGCCTGAGGCCTCAGCCCGCGGGTGCACAAGGCCTAGGGGTCCACTCACCACAGGAGCAGCAGACAAAGCACTGGGTGTGGTAGAGACTGTCCAGGGCCTGGCAGGCGTTGCTCTGCCCATAGATGCCTTTGTTGCACTTAATACAGGTGCCTGAGGGGAGAGAAGAGGTTGTCAGCATCACACCCAACACCCCCAGCTCAAAACCAGGGATTCGGGATCTTTCCTGACTGCTCCAGAGGACCACCAGGCCCAGCCTTCCTTTGATGGGCTCCCTCCTGGGAAGAGAGGAGAACGAGAAATGGAATGCAGCAAGGTCTTGGCTGAGCAGACCCATCCTTGTTTACTGATTAATCAACAGATATTTTCTGAGCATCTATTTTGTGCCTGGCAAAAATATGGTGCCCGATACTGTGGAAAATTGGAAGAGCGCCAAAGATATGGTTGTTGACCTTCAAATGTGCAGATTCTGTCAGGGAGAAAAGAATAACAGGCAAGGGTATGACCCCCGTTGTACTGTGTGGGACAAAGGGTCAGAGATGCCAGTCCATAATGGCCCAGCAGTGGCCTCCTAGAGGCCTAGACAGCCTCTCTGGGACCTCAGTTTCCCCATCCATAAAATGAGCTGCTATATGGCTACAGAATGACTTCTTACTGCTCCACACCTCTAGGCTTCCAAGGATAGAAAGAAGGATATGGCTCAGCAGAGGGCCCTGTGCAGAGGGGACCATGTGAGCATGACTCCTGTGGGGAGGTGGCTGCTAAGAATGTAGGGTGTGTTCCAGGCACTGGAGGTTGCACAGGAAGGTGGGGGAAGGGTGACAGAACCCCTAATGTCTCCCTGAAATCTATCATGGGAAGGATAGAGCTGAACTGCTCTTCTCTGACAGCCCCCCTCCTAAAATACATACACCTGGCTCTGGCACCCACCTTTCCTGGGTGTGTTCTTCTCTCCCTCCACTCCCCAATTCCAGGCTCATGAGTGAGGGCCAGGGCCTGTCTTTGGGGAGCAGATCCCAACGGGCCTGCCTCACCCCGCCCCACCTCTCCCCCTCGGCACACTGCCATACTCCTTGCCTGTTGGGGCCCATCCCAGTCTTTGCCCAGGGGCTTGGGAGCCCGTGCAGCAGCTGCAGCGACTGATGGGCCCAGGCCTGTCCTGCTCCCACCCTCTGGCAGCTGGCAAGGCTGGAGCCAAGGAAGAGGGCCCCTAACTGGGGGCCAGAGTAGGAGGGTACAGTCAGGCTAGGAATTCTGTCAGAGGAGGCAACCTGACTCTCAGGGAAAAGAAGCCTCTACCTCTGAGGTCAAAACGCCCATAAGAATGAGCCAAGATCGCCATGCCAGGGGGGCCCATCAGAAGCATTTCTCTGGGAAGCCTTGGACATTATGGTAAGACAGGTGCAAACTGTTCAGACATGTCCACCTAGCCTCCTCTAACCTAGCATATCTACACCTAGGTTCTTCCTGCCATTTTATTGCACTCTGTCCAAGCTCCTTTCTTCCTTTTCACTCTGATGGCTCGGCCCAAGAGACTTCTTTGCCCTCAACTGCCACTTCTCATGGGCTCCAAACGGAAACTGCTAAAAGGACCTGGTCACTTAGTCTCCCTTGACCAAAGCGTCATCTACTCTAGGTTTTCCTCTCTTAGGATGGGAGGATTGGGGTTGAACGGGGCAGGGAAGGCCCTGTCAGCCTGCAGCCCTGCTACCTCTCAACTTCCCCCTCAACCTGCCCTCCCTGGCTAGGTTCCTCTCCCTCTCCCCATTTCTAGCCATAGAGGTCTAGAGCATGGGGTCCAGGGCAGGAACATGGATGGTGGGAAAGGTGAGGAGAGGCCCAAGGCCTTCCACTTCTTTTCTTCCCACCGTATTAGCATTTCTTTATATAACGAAGTGGTGGCTGTGGGTCTTAGCTAAAAAGATCCTTCAAGATCCCAAACCCCCCCCCGTAGCTGAGACACATAATCAATCGATACTCCTTAAAGGTAATCGCGTGCGGGAGAGAGAGAGCGACCAGGTTTCCTTAACAGCGGCAGAAAATAACGTGCTATTTCTAGCCTGAATTCTGAGCAGGTTGTGGCCCAAACTGAAGGCCAGGTTATTCCTGGCAGTTACACAGGGTCATTAACCTACTAGGGATGCTGGTGTCCAGGGGGTCACGGCTTCTGCCCTGACTTCCGGAGGGTGGGGAAAGTAGAAGCGCACACCACCAGGTCTCCGCTTAAATGCCCACGCAGGCAGCAAGCCAGCAGGACTGGGACGAGCGGGCGGCAGGGTCCCTGCTTTCCTTCCCAGAGCGCTTCACCCTCCCTCCCAGGCTCCATTTCCCCGACCGCGGCCACGGCTCCGCGCGTGTTAGCAAACAGCACCCCCCCACACACATACCCCGCCCCACCGCACCCCACCCTCCGCCCCGCGCCGCGCGGCCGGCCCCGCCCGCGGGCACCTGGAGCGCCCGGGCAGGAGCCGGCACGCACGCGGCCCGCCCGCCCCGCCCCCCACCCGCGCATTCCCCGAATTCCTGCGGGCGGAGCTTGGGCCCGGGTGGGGGCGCGGCGCGCAGAAGCCTGCAGGGGCACCGCCGCCAAGGGGGGAGCAGGATGGGGGGATGCTCTCACTCCCCACTTGGTCCCCTCCCGAGGAGGCCTCCTACCACGAAAAACGGAGGCTCTAAAGCTTCAACTGGGACTCACGAGATAATCAGGGGGGTCGAGAGTAGCAGGAATAAGGAACCCCTGGTCCATTTGAGACCTGGTGGGAAGGGGAAATCCCTCTTGTCTCTTTTCTAGCTCCGCGTCTCCGCCTCCGACTTCCCGGCGCCGGCAATTTGGGCCGTCGGGGCAGTGGGGAACGAAAGCGGTGACGGGTCCCGTCCCTAACCACTTCTCTCACTCACCGAAGTAGTCCTCTCTGGCCTCCGGCTCCCGCATCCGGGCCCGGGCGGCCTCTGGAACAAACGGACCCGGCGGCTCCTCGAGACCCGACGGCTCAATCCCCGAGGGTTCCCCGCGGGCGCCGGCTTCTCGCCCCCCCGTGCCCACCGTCAGGCGCAGCAACGCTGTTAGCTCATCCTGGTATCGGGCGCCCGCGGCGCAGTCCCCGTAGCCGGTCACTGAGTGTCGTCCGGGTTGCGCCCCGCGTCTCTCCAAGGGCCCTGCCGCTCCCACTCCGGCCCCGGCTAGAGCTCCGGGGCTGCCCAGGGCCGGGGGATATGAGTGGCGACTTTCCTGGCAGCCGAACCCCGCAGGCCGGTGAGCGCACAGTCGGTCCAGGGCAGCGTGGAGCTCCGGGTAGGCGGACGGCACCCCTCCAGGGGAATAGCCCGCTGGAGCTCCAGCCAGGGGAGGGCCAAACAGGCAGGGCCCGGCGGGCAGGGGGCTGCCGTGGCGCTGGTCGTAGCCCATGCTGATGCCGCTGGTACGATTGCTGCAGGGTCGGCTACCTCCGGCTCCGCCTGCCCCCGCCCCGTCCAGCAGCAGGCTGCCGCGGGGGCTGGACGGCTTGCTGGCGTCGCTGGCTGAGCTACTGGCGAAACTGGAGCGGGGGCTTAGAGCTGGGGCCGTGGTCTCCAGCCGAAAGTCGGGGGGCAATGACTGAGGTAGAGGCAAGGCCCGGGTGGGAGGCGGCCCCCCGGGAAAGGACCCTTCGTAGCGCTGCGCTTCAAAGGAGCCGCGCGGGTTCCGCTCAGCGTCCAGGGGGCCCTGCTCCCGGGCTGGCTCCAACGGCTCATCCCCAGGTCCCCCAGTAGCTCCACGGGGCCCTGATTTCCTAGGAACCCCCAACCCACTCAGGCGCCCCTTGCCCGGCCCGGGGGTCCCATCAGACCCAGACCGGCTAGATTCACCCTTTCTGCGGCCGAACTTGGCGCTGCCGGAGTCCGAGAGCCTTAACTTCTCCAGCAGGCGACTGGCTTTCTCCCCTAACCGCTCCATGCCCTCGGGCCTGGGACCTCCAGCCCCCTCCCCGCCCGGCACCCTGCAGCGTCTCGGCGGCCGCTTCTCTTTCCCAGCGGCCGGACTCTGGTTCCCCGGGGGCACGGGGTAGGCACAGAGGTTTAGCCGGCGGCCCGGATGCCCGGCGCCGGGAATCCCGCAGCATCCCCCAGCGAGAGGGGCTGCTTCCCCCCGCGCATCAGGGGTTAAGCGAAGCTAGAAGGGCCTACGGCCTCGGCTGTCCCGTCCGCAGGTCTGTCTGTTCACGCGTCCACTCGCCCGGCCGCCCCACTCTCCCCGGCCCCCGCCCCCCTCGCTCTCACACTCAGCACAGACCGAACTTCTCTCCCAAACTTTTGTCTGCCTGGCCGGATCTACTTTCCGGGAGGGGCGGAGCGCTGTGTGCGAGAGGAACGCGGGTGTCTGCGCAGGGATCTCTCGTACGCGGGAGGGGGAGGGTGCTGCTGATGCTAACTGTCCTGGACGTGGAGACCCGCCGACTGGAGGCGAGAGGCGGCCGAGGGGCAGTTTGGGCAGCTGCTACTACATCTCTCAGGAATTGGGACCGGGAAAAGTGAGGGAGGGGGGAGAGGAACTCTTTGTTTGCAGTTGGAATGCGCGGAGGGGCACGGTGGAATGTCGCGGTCCTGGACTGGGTGACGCGAGGCATGTTCTGCGCAAACATCGTGACTTTGTTCCTACTGTGGGGACTGTGGGAGAGATGAAGAGAGACTGGCACAGAAGTAGTGAGACAGGGAGAGAACCATAAAGAGGGGGACAGGGAGAAAGAAAGGTAGATACATAAAGAGGTTCAGAGACGCTAATGTGAAGAGCCCAGAAGGGCGAGGAAGGTCGCGTAGAGAGGTGGTGGAAGACAGGTAGCGAAAGAAAGGGGGAGCCGGAGCAAAGGGAGGGGATCGTGGGTGGTGCGCAGACCGAAGGATGAGCAGACTAAGAAAAAGGCAAATTTGTGCAAGTCCAGACAGAATGAGAGCCCAACATATAAACTGCAATAAGAGGACACCACTTTCTGAACCCAAAGCTCTGCGCCGGTAGGGAGGGAAGGAGCTTTGGTGTCTATGCAAAAGAAACGAGGAGGAGGGTTGGGACTCATCTCTACGGTCCGGGTAGGACAGAAAGAGGACTAGAAGACACCCCCTGGTGTTGGGAAAAGAGATTTTTAGCAACTATTTCAGGCGGCTATAGGGATAGGAGGCCCGGTTGTTAAGACTAGCAAACGCCTCCCCCGTTGGTGGGCCCACAGGAGATTGTAATAAAGAGTAAGTATTAAGGAGGAAGAAAAGAAATGTCATTTAGACGGGCTAGCAAGTGAAAATGATCAGGGTGGAAAAGGGAAAGAGGAGGCTTCCAGTGTTGGCCATACTGTAAACATCAAGAATAAGGAAAGGAAGAAACGGTGGCTGAAGCTGAACATGCCTAATTAAATACCAGCGCAACTGATTTTGCCCTTAGCACATCAGGGACAAGGGGTAGAGGAGGTAAAATGGGGAAGGAAAATGATTCCTTTGTATTTAGATAGTAAATGAGTATGAAAATTTTATGCAAACAAATCATGCATATTATTTTCATTTCAACATTTTGAACACCTTTCATCATCTTATTGTAGCCTTAGGGAATGGGGAAGCAAAGGAGGTTAATATCTTTGGGGAAATTAATTTGGCACAAACTATTTGGCTTCTTTGTCCTACCTGCATTGTCTTCCTGACCTCATCTCTCTGGGTAATCAGCCTCTCTGTTTCCCTGTCAGGCCTACAGCTTTTCTCTGATCCAGAGGAGAGTTCACTATCAGACTAGAAGTACGGAGCACTGAAAGCATTAGTAACAGAGGGGAGCTCTCAGGTTGCATCCAGAACCTGCTGTGAGTGACATCTTCAGAATTAACCATAAGGCTCTCCCTCCTTTCCTGTCTCCAGATGGGAAAGAACCTGGATTCTTCCTTCCAACTACTTACAACCAAAATGTCCACAGAGCCTCTTATATATTTGTAAGCTTTCCCACGCTGGAGTGAGGATGGGAGAGTGAACCTTATGAGAAGTTGAGAAACCTTTAAAGGAGGCCCATGCGGGAAATGCTAGTAGCAGCAATGGGCACAGTTGAGACCAACGACCTGGATTTTCAGGGGATAACAAGAACCAGAGGCAAGTGAAGGGGCAGAGGGATGCAGTGAAGGCGTGCTCCAGTAGTGCTCATGACCTGGGGTAACGGTTCCATAGTCTCATCTGGAGCCAGGAGCTCCACAGGCGCCGTTCGCCCTGTTCTCCCTCCTCAAGATTTGAGTTACGAACTATGTACACAGATGGCTCCCAAATCCTTATCTCTAGCCCAGACACTTTTTCTTTTCTTTTTTTTTTTTTTTAAAGATTTTATTTATTTGACAGAGAGAGACACAGCGAGAGAGGGAACACAAGCAGGGGCAGTGGGAGAGGGAGAAGCAGACTTCCCGCCGAGCAGGGAGCCCGACGTGGGACTCGATCCCAGGACCCTGGGATCATGACCTGAGCTGAAGGCAGATGCTTAACGACTGAGCCACCCAGGCGCCCAACACTTTTTCTTTTTTAAAGTAAGCTCTAGGGGCGCCTGGTGGCTCAGTCATTAGGCGTCTGCCTTCGGCTCAGGTCATGATCCCAGCGTCCTGGGATCGAGCCTTGCATCGGGCTCCCTGCTCAGCAGAAGCCTGCTTCTCTCTCGAGACCCCACTCCCCCTGCTTGTGTTCCCTCTCTGGCTGTCTCTCTCTCTCTGTCACATAAGTAAATAAATAAATATATTAAATCTTAAAATAAATAAATAAATAAAGCTCTCTGCCCAACATGGGGCTTGAACTCATGACCCTGAAATCAAGAGTCACATGCTCCACTGACTGAGCCAGCCAGGCGCCCCCTAGCCCAGACTTTCCTGGACTTAAAAACTCAGCTGACTACTAGCATCTCCACTTGGTTGTTTCAAAGGCATACAACTCTCTCAGTTGACTTCACCTTCCCTGCCTCCCAAAACTGGCTCCTCCAGTGTCCCCTGAGTAAATGGCGCCATTAACCACTTTGCTGCTTAAACCAGAAACCTGAACATCAACCTTCTGTCGTCCTCCCTCCGCCTCAAGTCCAACCAAGTCCCGTCAGCAAGGCCTGTCAATCACCAAGTCCTATCAGTCTGGCTTCTTAAATCACTTTCAAATCGGTCCTCCTGTCACCATCATTTTCTGTCCAGCTGTCTCTTTTCTCCTGGGCCACTGCAGAAGTACCCCCCCCCACCCCGGCCTGGCTTTCTCCCTGCCATCCATCTCATACCGAGGGCAAGCGATTCTTCTCAAACACAAAACTGATGACCTCATTTCCCTGCTCACTGCCTTTCAATGATTTCTCACTGCCTTCGAACTAAAGTCTCTATTCTTTAAGATACTTGACGAGGTCTCGGTGTCTCTCCAGCTTCTCTCCGCACCTTCCCTTCCTCAAACTGTTCTGCAGGAGGATGGCAACTCCTCTGTGCTCTCTCTTGCCTCTGGACTTTCGTCCTTGCTATTCCCTTGTTTGGAACACTCCTGGCCTCCTCTTCCCTTCTGGGTAACGCCTCCCCATCTTTCAGGTACCAGTTTAAGCACCACTCTCTGAGAAGCCTTTCCAGACCACCAGAGTAGGTCAGCCACCCCTGCTGTCTGCTGCCGCAGCGCCTTACACACACCCCCCCTCCATCATCACCCCATGGCAGTTCAGTTCACTGTCTACTTAACTGCCTGGCTTCCTGATTAGATAATAAAACCTCTAATCAGCACCTAACCTGATCAACAGTGTACCCACAGCACCTAACACAGTACCTGACACCTAGGAAGTAATTAGTATTTGCTGTATGACTGAACAGAAAGCCGTTTTTAATTCACAATCCATTCATCAGGCACAAAGTCTGTATGCAAGTGTGTGTGGGTGCATGTGCGTGAGTGTGTACACCTGTGCACGCGCACACACACACACACACACACACACACACACACACACACACCCCTTCCTCCAAATACAGCTTGGCTGACAGGACTAAGAAACAGCTACAAAGCCCCATATACTGCTGGGTCACACAGTGGGACAGCAGCTGCCAGTGAGAAATGGGAACTCTTTAAGCTTTAATTTCTTCATGTGTAAGATGGGAATAATAAAATCTGCCTTACATAATTCAATAAACGATAGCTATTATATCCGTATTCCAATTCCAAGTAAGAATGGAGCGGTGCTCTGCTCAGAAGACGCAAGCCCATGACCGAAACTGCCCACCAGGGGGCAGTCGGACCCTGGACTGGGCATGTGGGGCGGCCACTGCCCAGCCAGACCAGCAGCCAGGGCGAAGCAGAAGGTGCAACCAGGGCGGCTTCCCCAGGGCTTTGCGTGAAACCAGAAACAAAACCAATTCCGAGACTGGGGCATATGTCAAGAAGGCCTCATGTTTCTTAGACCCATCCTCCTCCTTTTCTCAGCCCAGGCGCCCCGAGGCACTATTTATGCTTAGAAATAAGCATTTTCTGGCTTGCCATTCACGGGGAGCCGGGGAAGTCCCCCTTCTAGGTAAGTCTTTTTACCCCACCACAGCTGCCAGCTTCCACCTCCGTTGGGGACTGTGGTAAGAAGAGAGACAGATTTGCTTTCTCAGACTGCAGAGGACATCTTGTTAATCTGGGAAGCCCCATGGCCACCCAACCCTGGGACATGGGGAGTGGCAGATGCCAGAGTTCTTCTTGGTTATAGATTTCATTCATCCTTTTCCACCTTGATTTCAATGAATGAGTTCAAGTCAGGACAGCAGGTTTTGTGGGGTTGGTCAAAGGATGGGGAGACAGGTCCATTCTCATCACCTCCCTCGTCTTCCTCTTCTTGGAAATTAGGATTATAAAGTTCTGGTGGAAGGAGCTGGGCCTCAGCAGAAGGTAATCGGTCTGAGGGAGGCCCATACACACGGTTGGCTTTAGTGCCATGCTTAGAGTTGGCATCCAGGTGGTAGCAGAGCTCCGTGAGGCGCTGGGCCCGGAACCGGGGAGGCCGGGCCACCCAGACACCTGGCTCATTAAGACTGTCCTCTTCATCTGACATCAGCTCTTCTGTCACATCCTTCCACAGGCGTTGGTCCTCAGGTCCAAAATGCCTCATGATGCTGGATCGGTTGGCAAAAAGCTAAGGTAGGGACCCAGGGCAGAGACAGGAAGAGAAACAAACTATGCATTAGATTTGGGGAGAAGGTTCTCATAGGAAGAAGGCTGTGTAAAATCTGTGTCTGAGAGAACCTCGCCCCCAAGTCCTCTTAGAACCGGCTCCCCCTCCTCCTCCTCTATCTGCCAACATTCCTGGCTCTCAGCCCTATTCACAGATGCCATGTCCACTGGCCCTTCCCACTGGAGCTTAGTAGGGTTTAGTGTTTAGCATCTTGAAAGGAAGGCCTAGAAACCTACCCGGTATCTGCGACTTCGAAGCTTCTTCTCCTCTTTTTCCTTCAGGCCCTTAAAGGGGTTCAAGGAGTTGCGGTACTCACGCCTCTTAGTGAGAAAGTAGGCTACACAGGCTCCTGAGGAGGGAAAAGGGAGGGGGCAGAGAGCAGGTGCTCAGCCCTTTTTTTCTGCCCTAACAGTACTGGTTGGGAGGTGAGCATCACTCTAGATGGTAGGCTTTCTCACAGACCCATCAGCATCTATTTACTCCTCTTTGGTTTGGCTCTCTCTGCTCACCTCCCTGTCCAGACTGACTCCCCCCATATCTCCCACTGGCACACAACAAGTCCGAGCTTCTGTAGCTCCCTCCCCGGACCCGGGCTCCATTAAACCCACTCCCATTTTACTCTGCTGGTAGTGGATTACCAGCGCTTTTTCAGCAGGAGCTTTCTTAATGCTTCAGGGTTAGCTATGGGCAAATAATAGAAGAGTAAGGAAAGTAGAAAACCCAGGATGTAATATTTAGGGACAAAAGGGCAGGCCTGGATTCTGACTTCCTTTTCTTAACACCCTAGATTCAGGCCCTGTGGAAACATCATGCCTGCTGGAGTTAGCCCTTTCCTTCTCCCATTTTCATTTCAAGCGGGATAGGGGAATTAAAAAAAAAAAAAGGCAATTAGAAACAATCCTGGGGTGCCTGGGTGGCTCAGTTGTTGAGCGATTTCTGCTCAGGTCATGATCTCAGGGTCTTGAGATTGAGTCCCGAGTCAGCTCTACGCTCAGCAGGGAGTTTGCTTGAGATTTTCTCTCTCCCTCTACCCCTGCCCTCACTTACACTCTCTCTCTCTTTCTCTAAAATAAATAAATCTTAAAAAAAAAAAAAAGAAGGGGTGTTTGGGTGGCTCAGTCGGTTGACCTTCTGACTTGATTTCAGCTTGGGTCATGCTCTTGGGGTCCTGGGATCAAGGCATGTTGGGCTCCGTGCTCAGCGCGGAGTCTGTCTGGGATTCTCTCCCTCCCCCCCACCGCACTCCCTGCTCAATCTGAAAGAAGAAAGAAAAAGAAAGAAAGAGAGAGAGAGAGAGAGAGAGAGAGAAAGAAAGAAAGAAAGAAAGAAAGAAAGAAAGAAAGAAAGAAAAGAAAGAAAAAAGAAAGAAAAAGAAAGAAAGAAAGAAAGAAAGGAAAGAAAAGAAAAAAAGAAAAACAATCCTGCGAAGATGTGAGAATAGCCAAAAAAAATTTTAAGTCCACTATTTTCAAAACCACCTAAATCATCTCCATTATGCCTCTTCTCTGACCAAGAACAGTGAGTGGAAAAAGAATGGGATGGGAGTTAATTCCGTTTTTCTCACCTTTCAGCTCCTTATCAGTGTAATTGTGGGGACTGGTCACCAGCTCCTGCTTGAGCTTTTCCAGAAGGAACTTCACTACTGAAATATTCCAAGAGGACTTGATGCTGCCGCAAAGAAGATCATGAACAAGACAGTCAGCATTTTAAAAGCCATACAGAGATTCCTGGCACGAATCAACTTTGTGGCAAACTCCCCCGTGGCCAAGGACAGGAGGCAAGGGACAATGGTGAGGGCAAAGCCTTAGCCTCACTGTTGTATTGGAGAAGCCCTGTGCTTCCCTCTCGTTGGCAGAGTACCTTGTGATTCTTTTCCCTCAAGAGGATCATACCTTTCAGACCCATTGAATCTCTTGTCATTGGTGATGTGGTTATGCACATTGTGGACCAATTTCTAGGGGAAAAAAAACAAAAACAGATTCAAGCCGGGAGTGGATATGATGACACCCTCCTCTATTCCCTAAGCATTGTCCCTGTGGGGTTCTCTGCCTGAATCCTTCCCATAGTCTGGGCACCATTTCTGTTCATGTCCCTTCTGAGCCAGAGAACTTATCCAAGTCAGTATTTCGAATGCCCTCCCTTTTGTGGTCCTTTTCATTTAATTTGTATGGAGACTCCAGGATCATCCCTGGTCTTACTTCTTTTTCTGGGGAATATGACCACTAGGGCAGAAGGTCTCAGACATTTTCACAAACATACTCCTTCCTAATAGCCAGGAGAGAGCAAATATACACCAGGACTACTGCAAGTGGACATTTCTTGAGGGCCCCTACTCTTTACAATATATCTGTATTACTTTTAATCTAAAAATGTCTTCTTGTAATGAGCACTGGCTGTTATATGCAACTGATGAGTCACTGAATGCTACCTCTGAAACTAACACTACACTCTATGTTAATTAATTGAATTTAAATAAAATAAAATAAAATAAATGTCTTCTTAATCTCCTAGTAAAGTTGATGACCCAGGAAAATGCCCTAAGTATATTCCTTTGCACATTACCACAAATCTCAAGGGTACACACAGCATGGTCTGAAAAACACAAATCTAAAATAACAGAAATGTGAAATGCAAAGGACCTTGGAGACGCTATCACCCAACCTCCTTTTCACATCATTCAACAGGCTTTCAGCTTTGCTCACATACCTTTAAGAATGGGTTCTCACTACTCTTCCTCGAGTCAGCTTTTTTACTGTTGCTTGTTAAAAAGTGTTGCCTTAGACTCCGAAATCTGCCCAGTTTTGCCCCTAACAGCACCGAAAATCTTTGAAGACTCTCATGTACTCTCTAAGTCTTCTGTCCAGTCTAAATATCCCCAAGTCCTTCAACCATTCCTTACGACACAATTTCCAGACAGATGCCTCTTGAAACCATCAGGTTCCCTGGCTTGCCAGTGTCCCTTGGACAACGTGGCAGTGGGAACCGAATCCAATGCATCAGTGGAGACCTGGCCAAAAGGGAGCATTACTTCGCCAAGTGGCACTCTACACTTCAAGGAATGAAACCCAAGATGGTATTACCTTTCTTAGCAACCCCACCCCTATTCCTAAGGTCACAGTTTTCATTCCTAGTGAGCTTATAGTCAACTCAAGTCTATTTTTCATATGGATTACTATCTCCGCCATTCTGCAACTGTTTTGTTTTTTTAAACTTTGATGCAGAATTTTACATTCCTTCCGATTAAATTTAGTTCCGGTGTTTCTGATGGTATTTTCATCCCAAGCTCCCTCAGTTGGTGGAAATTCCGTCCCAAACCGATGGACTCATATGCTGATCTCAGGACTTCAGCTTCAATTGAGAAATCCCCAATTTACCCTTCTGCCTCTATGACTGACTGACCATATCACTTTAGGAAAGTACTGTCACCTTTTTATGGTTAGGGTCTCCACTCTATAAAAAGGACTGTTAATGAAATTAGCTTCATATTTGATATCGTTATTTTACCTCTTAGAAGTCCCAATTTAAGGAATCACAAGGGATGGGTGAATGCTTCAGAAAGAATTTGAAAGTGTTGCCAAAAAAAAAAAAAGAAAGAAAGAAAGAAAGAAAAAGAAAAGGAGCTGCACCGCTTCCAATTCAAGTGGCTTGGAAGAAATCAGCTGATAAAAATCAAACCAGGCTTGAAGTGGAAAGGGAAAATACTCTAAGACAATAATAAGTGTTAAGACTGTAAAGGCTGCTGGCTCACCCACCTCCTCAGTGAGCTAAAAATAAATACATTTCCCCAAGGGGTGGCTGGGATCAGCCGCATTCCAAGAAATCAGTGGTTCCCCTTTCTGGATTCCCAGCAGCAATCCACAGCGGGCTGAGCAGATTGGAGGGATGCCTCTCTGATTCCTTCCCAGAGCTAAAGGCTGGAAGACTGAAGGCCTGCAGCTAACCGTCTCCCTCGAAACCACAGTCTGGCACAAGAACATCTGAAACCTTCCTCTGTGATGGGCAGCAAAATTCCCTGACCGGTCCTCCAGAGCCCTCTCAAGCAACTGCAACAGAGAGCAGGAGGGGTGAGCCCACTGTCCTCCTGTAAGGTCCTCAGTTCCATCAGGCTCTCCAAAGGGCAGGCAGCAGCCAGGCCTCAACCCCAGACCTCTCGCTGGAGGCCGTAGGCAGAACAGGGAGCGGTCAAAAGTCCCGTTTTTATGCAAATCGTAATTATCACACATTTATTCATCATTTAAACATTATGAAGTTTTGGGAAATCCCTTGCAGTGCATTTCTAAGTACATGCCTCCGTTTCTGTCACTGGCAGCGAGAGTGGCCCTCTTGGGCCAGAAGTTTCTGACAGAAAAACTAAATCCATTCCATTTTGATAAGTGAACATAACCAAAATTTAAAATGAAGGTTAGAAACCCGTTGATTCTGATTATGAATGGTGTCTTCCTTCCCAGGGAAGGAAAGAACCCCTCAATGTAAAAACAAATCAAATGAAAGGGAGGGTAAGAGTCAGGAGCCCTTAGAAAATGGAAAAAGAAGCAAGAAGTAATGAAAGAAGAATCTCCAGTGAAGATGAAGGAGATACGCACGGTACCCGGCAGGCTTCAACCTTTACTAAGACTGTGACAAGAGGAAAAGGGCTAGACCGTGACGAGATTTCGGGTGGGTGTGAATGGTGAGCTCCCTTCCTATCCAGAACTCTCCAGTGACTCTATCAGTCATGAGCCAGAGAAGGGAAATGCCTTACAGTCCATATGAATAGGATCTAGCCAAAGAACACCCCGACAGTTATCAGAAAGATGTTTGGGGACACAGAGGTGATCCAAAGGACTATGGTCACCCTAGAGCAGGGTTTCTCAACCCTGGCACGATGGACGTTTTAGGTCGAATCATTGTAGGCAGCTGCCCTGTGCACTGGAGGATGTTTAGGGATGCTCCTGAGGCTCCAAGCCACTCCAAGTTTCAGGCAGAACTGGTTCAGCCCAGTACCTTCCCTGCCAAGAGCTCTTAGAACCCCTAGGCTCGCCAAACCTTTATAACTGAGCTGAGTGTCTAGGGGCCCTCTGCGCCTCTGGAGATTGGGACTACCTCAGCACACCTTGGCCATTCTGCCAAGGGGCCCCTTGCTGCTTACTCTGAACACTGGTCATCTGCAGGCTACCCCAGTGCTACCCTTCGGTGGTCAGTCTGATCAATCCCTTAAAGATCTTCCCATCAGGACTATTAGCTCACGGGGAGGAGATATGATATAATTCTCTTCTCTTTAAACAGAAGATTTCAGTCTATTTGGAAAAGCCTTTAAAAAGTTCCCCAATTAGCAGGGGGTCTGCCTATCCCTAGGGCTATGGACCAATCTCTCTCCTTCTTGCCCCTGCCATTCCAGTAGGATTCAGGAAACCATTCATTCAATATGGGACGTTTAAAATCAACCCACACTTCATTCTTCACTTCTCTCTCCAGACTGAAGAAAAATGTATAGAATTGAGCTCACTCACGGAGAGTACCAGATCCCGCTTGCGCCTGGAGTTCTTCTGCCCACTCCCTCTGGTCCTGCATGGGGAAGCGGTAAACCCTAGAGAGTGTCTCAGCTCCCCTGTTCCCCCGGGGCCTGACTCTTCCAAGGCACCATCCAGCACAGCAGCAGCACTGAGCATGTCCTCGGGGCGGGGTGGTGGCAGCTTGCTTCCATTTTCTGGCCCTGTCTCTGAGGTTGCCCGCTGGATAGCCAGTTGTGTGGCTGGTGAGAGCTGCTTGGCATAAGCAGGGACCAGCACCCGCTGTACTGCACCCTCAGAGGCCACATAATCATCCACCAGCTAAGAACATAAAAAAGAATAGCCTATTAGCCATCCAGGCTTAGGGGAACCTGGTCAACCATCATTCTTTGGCCAAGGATAGTGAACAGAGAGTAGAAAGCAGGGGGAATCCAGCACAGTCTTAATGGTCAATAGCTTGTTTCTCTGGGACTCCTACAGGAGTGTTGGCAAATATTTCTTGGATATACAGGGCCTCTCGGGTTGAATTGTTACCCATAGGACTGATTACAAGGACAAGGCTTGTTTTGACGCTCTGTTTGTGAGGAATCATCTGTGATTTGCTCTTGGGTATAAGAACAGTAGCCAGGCAAATATTTTGTCTAAAAGGGATTGGGGGAGGAAGTGATGGTAAGAAAGGAACACCAAGCAAGAGAAGGAACAAGAAAATAAAATGGTAACAACAAACAGGAGAAAAATGGGAGCAAAGAAGGGAGATATAAAGTCAGAAATTTCTAGAGAGGCTGGCACCAACTGCCCCACCCCACACCCCATTCCCTTCGCAGGACCTGTCTGTGCCCTCACCTTGATCCTGCCCTGGCCGCATCCGACTGTCACTGTCCTGACATCCACTTGCTGCCTGTGCCCTCACTCAAGGACATACAGGGCAGGGAAAGGAAGGAGGGAGGAAGGAGACAGAGAGGGAAGAAAGGAGGGGGGATTTCTGCAGCCAAGAAAACAAAACAGGGAAAGTGGGGGGAAAAAAAAAACACAGAAAGAAGCGGGGGAGGAGGCTGAGATTTATAGACCTGTGAGCTGCTTTCTACGCTGTGAAATCTAATTCCATCCTGTCGGCTTGGAAGGCTTCCCTGCCTGACAGAACCAAAGCTCAGGGCATCACCTGGCCTGGTACCTGGTACCCCCCCACCTCCTCCCACCTCCCCGCAGCCCCAAACCCTCCCCCCCCCAGCCCCCCAGAGTCCTGGCTGGGCAGAGTGGGGCAAGCGGCAGTGGCCACCACCTAGCCTTCAGGGAGCAGTGACCAGCTGCAGCGTGACACTGGAGGGGGACAGGGGGCTTCTACATTCATTTCTCAGATCTAGCAGATGGGCTGGGAGTTTCCTCCCTCCCATCTCCCCTATGTGTTCTGCTCCTTTTCTCTTTCCTGGGTGTCTGGGCCTTGTTGTGCCTGTGAAGGGAGGAGGAAAGTGGCGGGGGGGGGGGAGCATGGGGGAGGAGAGCTGACAGACCTCCCACTGTCTCTCAAGTGGTGACACATCTGTTACTTTCCCATCTCTATGATCTCCCTAGTTGCTCCATCTCCTTTTTGTACTTCCATGTGCCACGCTCTGCAGTTTTTACTCCACTCAGCCAGGGTTTTCCTGCTCAGATGGCCCTAAGCAGTAAAGAAACTGAAATAGCACAGTGTACTTCTGTGTCTTTTTCCTGCTCACAAAATAGGCGCGCTTGCTTCCGTCCTTCTCCCTACGTGTCTCTCTTCCCAGGAACTCCCAGCCGTCAGTCCACTTCTTGTCCTCACGTTTTTCCCTTCCCTCTACCTCCTTTCCACCTTTCCTCACGTTCTCTTGCACGCGTGAAGTCTCTTTCCATTTAGAGTCGCCTTTCCTCTATGTTCTCAAACTTTTCCTCCTTCCTCAACCCTCATCTCCACCTGCCTCCTTCCCTCCCTACACCTGTCTTTCCATTCCCTTTGGCCTCCAGCTCTCTCCTTCCTTCCCTCTCCTCCCTCCCCGCCCCTCCCTCTGTCCCTCTCCGGCTCTCCCTCTCTCTCCACCTCTGCCCCTCTGCCCCCCACATTCCCAGTCTCTCTGTACTGAATTCCTCTTGGCAAGCGGAGGGCCCGTGATAAAATATGAATGAGCCGTCTGTGCACGGCAGGCCAGCCCCCGGAGCAGCGGAGCCACCTGTGGACGGGAAGGTGGCACGCAGAGCTCCTGGGGCGGGGGAGGGGGGGGACCACGGCCGGCACCCCGCACACCGGACCCGAGCTCCTGCCACCGAGGCTGCGGTTCAGGGGAAAGCGGGCGAGGGCTGCCTATCCCTGCCGGCAAAGGACGCCTGGTGCGGTCCTGTTTCCGCACAAGGAACACCTAAAAGCAAGGCTGAAGGCTGGAAAGGAACCAGAGGGAGGGAGAAGGAAAGGGGACAGGCCCAGAAAAGCCCTCGTAGCCACCCCCACGGCACTCGCGTCCTGCTCTGCGGCCATACTCACGGGATTGAGCAGCGGGGCCGCCTCGCCGGCCGCCAGGGCACACCCCGGGAGCCGGGCGTCCCTCTGCGCCGCCGGGAAGCCCAAGGGCCCGGGCCCCACGGCCGAGGCGGCTCCCACCTGCCACAGCTCCTCAATCACCACCTGCATGCCGCTGCCCACGCTGTCACACTCCTCTTCCCCCGCGGCCGCCGCCTTGCAGGCCTCCCCGGGGCTCTCCTTGAGAGGCCCCGGCTCCTCTGGCAGGGAGCCGTGCGCCTGGCCGTCCCCGTCTTCGTCCGGGGCCGAGGCTTTCCCTCGCCTCAGCTCACCCACCTCCTCTTGGAGACGTTTGAGCAATTCGTTGTTGGCCCGGGCGAGCCCCAGAGCGGCCTCGGCCAGGCCCACGGCCTTCTCCACCCGCTGGTAGATAATGTGCAGGAGCTGCTCTGAACTCTGAACGGCCAGGCCGTGTCCGGTCACCGTGATGGGGGTGCTGGTAGGAGGGTTCCCGCCCTGGGAGCCCGTGCTGCTCGCACTGGTCTCGCTCTTGCAGGCGCAGCAGCAGCATCTGGTCTCACTGCCACCGGGAGGGGAGAAGAGGATGGTGGCGCTGAAGGACATGGCTGATGGCCACAGGAACAACTGGGCTCACACTGCCGGACCGTTTGGAAAGGTGTCCCCAGTCGGCCCGACTCCAGGCGGGTAGGAAGCACCGGCCTCTTTGGATTCACTTCCCTGTGTCATGGAGGGCAACCAGAGGAGCCTGGGCACCAGGCGGTGGGCTGTGTGAAGGAGTAGGCAAGCCGTGCAGGAGCACACCGTCCATGGCTGCCTGGCCTGGGCCTGCAGAGGAGAGATGCCTTCTTCTATCTGCGGATCTCGTGCTCTCCCAGGGTGCTGGGTGTCCCACTCACCCCTGACCCAGAGGGTGGTGCCTACACAGGCCTTCCTGCTGAACACAGTGTCAGGGGGTAGAAGGCATTCTTCCTGCACCCAAGCATGGAACCCCCCGCCACTCCAACCTGAGGAACAGAGGGGGGGACTCAAAAGGACCCACAAGCATCTGGAAAGATGAGAAGATTAAGGAAGAAAATGCAGATCTGTCTTTGCCTCCTCACTATCTTTGCGGTAATAACAGTCATTGCCTTTTGTCTCCTTGACATCATTCCTTAAGGAGTTCAGAACACTTCCCGCAGGTTATCTCAACCACACAGAAGCTCTAGGAAACACATATTACTCCAGGCCCACGGAAGAGACATGCAGACGAGTTATAGATCTCTTTCAAGGTCAGAGGGAGACGGCGGAATCCAGTTATTGCTACTTTCAATCTAGTGTTTATTTTTTTAACTGATAACCACTTTTTGTTGACATAAAGAATCACGATTCTACCCTCCCTATAATTTTCTTACAGATGCATTCAGACTAAGACTCCTAAGTAAGGAATATGCCGACAGCCCTCAACATGTCACCAACCTCACACTATTATATCACTGACGCTTTGGGGTGGGGCAGGGAAAGGAAGAGGAAAGCTGGATCAGAGAATCAAGCTGCGGTGACCCCGGCCGCACAGCCCCCTGGCTCTCACCGTTGTGCATCTGGGCGTCCAGCCTCTGAAGAGGAATCCAGCTGTTCTGAATCCTACAGCTGGTAGCCCTGAGAGAAATCACCTCTGAGGCCCCTCATCTCCACTTCTCAAACTCCTTGAGGGAGGGGCAAAGCTCAAAAGGCATGTTTAAATAGCTCAGTGCTGCCACTTTGCCCACATGACCAGCCCCATTAAAAAGGAAATCAGAATATCGATGATAAACCAAACTGCCTCACTTTTGAATCACTGTAGGTAAGCAACTAAACTACTCTAGAAGGAAAAGAAAAAAGGTAAGGGAGGGTTGGATTGTACGACTGAGAACAGTCCAAGGAGCTTCATGTTGTTTTGCTAAATACTTGATTATAGAAAAAAGAATCCTCTGCCTGAAGCCCCCTAAGTGACAGAATCTTAAGTATGTTTAGAGTTTCCACAAGAGATACATTTCCATCTTACCCTGTAAATTATATCATAACATCACAATTAAAAAAGGTGGGTAAGAGAATTTTCTATATTGAGATGTGGGGGCTTTTCTTGAATCAGCAATCTCATTTCAGAAACAGGTAATATCGATGCCTCTGTGGTACTAAAACGTAAATCTGACAATGCATTTTAATTACATTTGGTTATAACAAAACAAAACAAAAAAACGTTTTCTGTGCCAGGTATTCACTTATAAGAACTTCACTCAAATCCATTTGCAGCTTCTCTGTCATTAGAGTCACTGGAAGGCACAGCCTAACCTAAAACTAAAGGTTAGAGGAAAGTACTAAGCAAGACTGTGTCAGTTTATGGATGAATCATTTATATATCCTTTCCCTTCCTAAATAGGGCCCTTCACTGTTCTTGCAGGGTTTTTAGCCAACGTCATGCAAGGAGTTTAATCTGAACCGTGGCTATTGTGAGAAAAAGACAGTTATGTAGTAGAAGATAAGATACAAATGGTTGCCAGTTGGGTCCAGTATTTGTAAAATCAGAAACTAAGATGCATCAGGTTGGCACACTGGGAGGGTACCCCTTCTGGTACCAAAATGACAATGGCTACGTTCTTGCCCCCAACACTTACTCTTTCTTGCAAGAGGCCTTAACCCCTGCCAGTGCTGTGCCTGCCTCGAGCCCTTCCTTCCCCCTTGAATGGTCATTCCCAGGTCATCATTCCAAAATAGCACTGAACTGGAAATTTAAAAATATATATGTGTAGCATGGAGCACGGGGTGTTATGCACAAACAATGAATCATGGAACACTACATCAAAAACTAATGATGTAATGTATGGTGATTAACATAACAATAAAAAATTAAAAAATATATATATGTGTGTGTGTGTGCGTGTGTTTCTCATCCTGCTGCACTACTTAACAGCTGTGTGAACTTGGAAAAATGATTCCCTTTTCTGAGCCTCAGTGCTCTTCTCTCTGTCTACTTGGAGTATTTTTGTGATAATTATACATACATAATGTATGTAAGGCACCTACAGAGTGCTGGCACGTGGTCAGTGCTCCACAAATAGCAGCTGGATATTATGATTATTCCTGAAATATTTTGTATTGCCATTCTGGACCCCCATCCTGATTTCCCAATCTTGAAAAAAATGCAATGGCTTAAAATGGAACTTGGTGGACTTCCCCCCTAAATTTAATACAAATTTCTAAGAAACAATAAATTCAAGTCTACAAAGAGGCATGTATACATATAAAAGCTTCTCTGATATACATTAGTAAAGTTATTGAGAAAACAGAGTATTTGCAGGGGCGCCTGGGTGGCTCAGTCGCTAAGCATCTGCCTTCTTTGGCTCAGGTCATGATCCCAGGGTGATGGGATCGAGCCCCGCATCGGGCTCCCTGCTCAGTGGGAAGCCTGCTTCTCCCTCTCCCACTCCCCTTGCTTGTGTTCCCTCTCTCGCTGTGTCTCTCTGTCATATAAATTAAATCTTTAAAACAAAACAAAAGAACCAGAGTATTTGCAATTTATTACTCTCATGAACTGGCTTTAGACTGGGGATAATACACAACTCTGCTAGCTTTTAATGATAAATATATTTTCATATTTGTGTTGACATAAAAAATCATGATTCAGGGCGCCTGAATGGCTCAGTCAGTTAAGAGTCTGACTCTTGATTTTGGTTCAGGTCATGATCTCAGGGTTCGAGTTTGAGCCCTACATCGGGCTTTGCGCTGGGTGTGGAGCCTGCTTAAGATGATCTCTCTACCTCTCCCTTTGCCCCTCCCCCATCCTAAATCATGATTCTACCATCTCTATAATTTTGTTCCTCAATTTCTTTCTGCTTTTCTACTTTGTGTATTAACCTAACTACATCTGGGTGCCTGGGTGGCTCAGTCTGTTAAGCATCTGCCTTCGGCTCAGGTGACGATCTCAGGGTCCTGGGATCAAACCCCGAGTGGGGCTCCCTGCTCAGCAAGGAGTCTGTTTCTCCCTCTTCTCTGCCCCCTCCCCTGCTCGTGCTCTCTCTCAAACACACTCTCTCTCTCAAATAAATAAATAAAATCTTTTAAAAAAAACCCTATGTCCATTTTATTTATTTATTTTTAATTATTATTATTTTTTTGAGGGGGGGAGGGGCAGAGAGCGAGGGAGAAAATCTTAAGCAGCCTCCATGCCCAGCACAGAGCCCGACTCGGGGCTCAATCTCACAACCCTGAGATCATGACCTGAGCTGAAATCAACAGTCAGACACTTAATTGACTGAGCCACTCAGGTGCCTCTAACTATGTCCATTTTAGAATGTCACATTCAGAGCAACAATTAGTGTTTTTTTTTTTAATTAACCTGTCTATATAAATCTGGTACAGTGCAGTGTAGCACAATGGGTATTCAAATAACTCTTATTTGGTTTCTGTGGACATTCCTGCTGATTTAATTGTACTGGCTGCTATATCCACTTAAGCTCTAAGACACTGAAATGAAAGGACAAGGAAAGAAAGGAGAGTCAGCAGGTAATAAAGGAATCTTTCACATTATAATATTTACTAACCAGATAACTTAAATGCTGGATAAGTTGGATTAAAAATAAAACAAAGCACAAATTTCATTAGCTACATACATCCCCACTAGAGAAAAAAAAACAAGTTGAAAAAACAGTTTCTAAAAATTCTCTGTATGCAAGGCCATGCTGAAGGATGAGTCACCAAAATGGATTGCAACCACTAAGTACTCAAATGAGGGGAAGACAAAGTCCTTACATGCAAGGAGCTTACAGCATATGTGAGAATGGAATGTTTAAGGAACAACGCAAAATACAAGTGCCTAAAAATATGGTGCAGACAAAAATTCTTGAGGAGATAGTTTAAAATAATGGAAAGATCAACAGAACGAAATCATATGAGAAAGGGGTCTTACGGAAGAAAAACCTCCAACTGAGCTTTGGGCAATGTACAGAAGGAATTGGTAGGGTAGAAAGAAGACGTGACAGATGAAAGGAAAAACAAACATTACAGGAATTTACAAGGTGCATGTGTGAGGTCAGAGCAAAGGTACGGAAAGCTGACATAGGACTTTGAAAACCATGTTAAGGAAACTTCTAGCGTAGGGGTCAGCAAATCTTTTCCTTTACATAAAGGACCAGACAGTAAGTAATTTTGGCTTTGCAAGTCATGTGGTTGCTGTCACAACTATTCAACTCTGCCATTGTAGCACAAAGCAGCCACTGACAATACATAAACATGACAATACATAATGAGCACAACTGTGTTCCAATAAAACTTTATTTATGGACACAGAAATGTCATCAGATATTATATTTAACACTTACATTAAGAAATATAAAAGCCAGTCTTAGGTCACGGGCCATACAAAAACAGATGGCAGGCCAGCCAGCCTATGGGCTGCAATTTGCTGACCCTTGTCTTAGATACCTAAAGTGGAAGAGTTAAGAGATTATTAGCAGACTCTTCAATCCTGAAGTGAGTTGAGAATGAGGGTTGTGGATATGAAGTTTCAACATTCTGAAGGAAGACCTGATAATATTTCTTTACTTAATAAATATGGGGGACAGAAATATTGGCTAAGATTTATCAACCTGAGGGTCAGCCGGTGGTTCCATTGACAGAATGATAGAAATGAGAAAGTTGAGGTGGCTCAGTTGGTTGGGCACCCGACTCTTGGTTTTGGCTCAGGTCATGATCTCATGGGTTGTGGGATTGCCCCCACATCGGGTTCTGTGCTCAGTGGGGAACTCGCCTGAGATTCTCTCCCTCTCCCCCTCCTGCCCACCCCCTGCTGACATATGCACA